TACCGGTACTATAGTGAGGCAGCCTCTGGAGATTATGCCTGGCACAAGGGACTTTCACAAAATCGTCTGCAACTAGCACGTTATCAAACTCCAAGCCTTTGGCTTTGTGTACTGTGCCTATTATGTAATCTAGAACCAACAGACATCAGGAAACAAGCAGAGAGAAAGAGATCAGCCAACATATCTGCATTGCTGCTTTTTTAAATCTTGTTACACTTTATGTACACATTAACTTACCTTGTTCTCAGAAGGGTCACCGTGTCAGTCTGTATGTGCAAAAATGAGGAGTCCCGTGATTCCTTGAAGACCAATAGATTTATTTGGGTATCGGCTTTTGTGGGTAAAAACGTTTGCATCTGACGAAGTGGGTTTTACCCACGAAAGCTGATGCCCAAATAAATCTGTTATTCTGTTAAGGTGCCACGGGTCTGTTCGTTATTTTGACCTTGGTCTGCATTTCTAGTTTCACTTGCTTTTAAATGTGAGCTGGAAGCAAGATGTGATGGGTGAGGTAGTGTCTTTTATTGCAGCGCCATCTAATGGTCCAACCGAGTATTACCTCGCCCATCTTGTCTCTAATATGCTGAGGTCTAAATGGCTACAATGATACTGCAAACTAGAAGGAAAGCAGTTTTGCCAACTGTTAAAACAGAGCAGAGAGAGAACGAAACATCCAGATCGGCGCTCCTGTCTGCATGAATCCACTAGCACCTAACCTCAAGATGATTCTTACCAACCACCACAGGACATACCACACTAATACCAACCCTGGTACCTTCCCTTGCAACAAACCCTGTTCCCAGCTTTGTCCACATATTCACTCTGCTGATATCATTATTGGGCCTAACCAAGTGAGTTATAAGATCAAGAACACATATTCCTGCGCATCCAGAAATATAATTTATGCTATCATATGCCGAAAGTGTCCGTCTGCTTTGTACATTGGACAAACGTCTCAGACACTTCGCCAAAGGATCAATGCCCACAAAACAGATATTAGACAGGATCACAAAGAAAAAACAGTTTCTTGCCATTTCAACCACAAAGGACATTGTCTCAACGACTTGATTACCTGCATCCTGCTTCAAAGGCCTTTTAAGACTACACTTGAAAGGGAATCCTCTGAACTGTCATTCATGCTAAAATTTGACACTCTACGCGTGGGTCTCAACAAAGACGCTAACTATCTTACCCATTACAAAGAGAGCTTCCCCAATTATCACCTCTAATACCATTAGCTCACAGACATTTACCTTTCCCCCTCCCCCGCATCCCCCTTCTGTTCTGAAATGTGATTTGTCCTTTTCATATGTGTTCATTTTTTTAATTGTATCCTTTGGTATATATGGCTGTGACTATTTTCTTTCACTATTTGATCTGAGGAAGTGGGTCTGGCCCACGAAAGCTCATCATCTAATAAACCATCTTGTTAGTCTTTAAAGTGCTACATAGTCCTGTATTTTGTTCCCAGGACTGGTTTGTTGTATTTTGAAAGCCCACCAGTCTTTTTTCAAAAATCACTGCACATTTAAGCCAGGAGATGTCCTGAATGGGAGTTTTAACAGGCAGCATAAACTATTTCCCTGGGAGGGTGGGGACGGGTACTTAGGGAGAAGGTGGAATCTGCATCGCTAGAGGTTTTTATGTCCCGGCTTGACCAAGCCCTGGCTGGGATGATTGAGGTGGGATTGGTCCTGCTTTGGGCAGGGGGCTGGACACGATCAGGAGCGGCCTGAGGCGGACTGCGGCAGCTGGCGCCCCAGGCAGAACGCGCGATCGGCGCCCTCTCCTGCACGGCCATCAATGGAGTGAGGTCATCATTGGGCGCCCCATTGAAGGTGGCGCCCTAGGCGACGCCCAAGTGGGCCTATAGTCACGGGCTGCCCCTGGACATGATGACCTCCTGAAGTCTCTTCCAGCCTTCTAGGATTCTAGGATAAGGGGAGGCATTGGGCCAGTCCGCTAGATCCCAGGAAATACTGAGTCCTCACACGGCTCCAGCAGAACCTCACTTATCAATGCTCCAGGGGAAAAATCATTTGACAGACCCCAGGAATGTCCCAGAAGGAGCTGGCTCATTCTTTCTTGGGCACAAGCCCATCTGAGGCCACGGGAATTGTTTTTGAAGAGCCGGGGGAAGTAAGATAGGATTAAAAAAGCAGAATCGTTTTCCTTTTCAGGGGCGTGGAGCAGAAAGGTGTGTGTTGCTTTACCTGCATCGGCTAGTTTCGATATGTGACTCGTTTTTATCCTCGCCACCAACTCAGGAATCCGGACGTTGTATTTCTCCACTATTGCAATTTTCACTTCCAGCTCCTTGTCTTCGGCGCTAGATGCGTAGTTCTTTAAACCCTGGAACCCATCCTTCTCAATCCACTTCTTGATAAAGGGGTCGTCAATGCAGAGATTCACTAGCGCGAAGGGGATTGGAGAACGTTAGTACATGAGAAATGCACAATAGCATTTTTAATGCTGAACAAAATAGATCCGGGGCGGGGCAGGAGGCAACATGGCCTAGTGCATACAGCACTCAACTAGGACTTAAGAGTCTTGGGTTTTATTCCCAACTCCAACCCTGGCCTGCTGGGTGGGTTTGGGCAAGTCACTTCAAATTCTCCGTTTCCCCATGTATAAAATACTGACCTCGTTTGCAATGCACTTGAGACATACAGGTGCAAAGCGCTCTATCAGAGCTGCGTATTATTAGCAGAAGAAGCTGTAATAAGTGTTTCAAGAAGCCTTTTTATTATTTTTCTAAACAGTAAATGCCCGTCTGTAGAGCCTGGGATACTTTAGGGTTAGCAGAACCGTTTATGGGGTGGATTCTTACAGAAGTCAAGATATTCTTACAGCTACCATGGTGGCCAGTAACGGAAGAATGGTGGTGATCTGGAATGGATGTGCCATGTTCTTTTTCCCGACAGGCGGGATTTCCTGTTCACGACGTTGGTGGCCTTGCTAGAGGAAAGGATTCTTGGATGGAAGGGACAAGCAGACAGACTACTGAAAATCAGAAGAAGCTGAGGCGTTTCTAAACAGCCCAGTTTGGGAAACAACAGGTTCAAGGAAACATGATGCTTGCCACCAAGGGATCGGAGAGAGAGGAAGTCAGAGAGAAGGCCTGATGGTTCACAACCACCAGTCCTATAATTCTATGATTCTATGATTCTATGAATTCTACTCAGCTCATAGCTTTAAACTGATACCAGGTCCTCAGCGTGGAAACTTTGGAAGATACTTCTCAAGATCCAGCAGCTCCAAGGAAACCGAGAGATGTACAGGCACTCACATAGACGGCAGCTCGGCCTAACCAAAAAAAAAATCAAGCTAACTCGCAAAGAGATCTCCACCTAGCCCAGGAAAGCTGGCAATCCTTATGGGAGATTCAGTACCACAAAGAATGAAGGGAACATTCTGCAAGGGACAGGATGACAACAGACTAGTGTGCTACTTTCCCAAAGCCGAGACACAAGTCTCTACTCTAAGACTGGATTAGCCCCTGACGTCAACGGGATCCACTAGTGATGGTTCATATAGGCACTAATGACACTGTGTCATGGAACATCACATGGACAGTAGATGACTTGAGGGAACCTGAAGACATGCTGAAGAACATCCAAGCCATCTTCTGTGAAATCCTCTCTGTCCCACAAGAAAAGAGATATCAAAGGCAGAAGATTCTGGAAGTGAACTCCTAGCTAGCTAAGCCACTTAGGGTGGAAGGATTGGGTTTCATGGATCACTGGTCCGCTTTCTGTGGGGAATGAGGGTTATGTAATATGCATGACCTCTATCTCAGTAGAAGGGGGACCAATTTCCTCTCGCCAGCCTGTCCCAGGTAGTCAGGAGAGGATTCAAACAGCGGCAAAAAAGGGAGAGAAGATAGAACAGCTCAGCACAAAAATGGAGATGTTGGAAACAAAATCGATCAATGAACTAAAGGGCACAAAAAGAAGAAATTCCTGAGTTGCCTGCACACCAAGGCTAGGAGTCTGGGTGTAAAGGTAATGGGGCACACGTTAAACAGATTAAACGCTGGCTAACTGATAAGTCTCCAAATGTAATTGTAAATGGAGAATCATCATTGAGCTTCCAGTGGGTTCCTACCGGGATCAGTTTTTGGCCCTATGCTTTTAAACGTTTTTATCGATGACCTAGAAGGAAACATAAAATCATCCCCGATAAAGCTGGCAGATGACACAAAAACAGGGAGGAATGGTAAATAATGAAAAATACAAGTCACTTTTGATACTCATGCTAATGGATTAAATAATGGATGGCTGAAACATTATCAGTCTACCAAACAATGAAGAAGCCAATGGTTCTTTGTCTATATAGTATCTGGTGTTAGTACTCTTCTTCTCTATTACTTACTTATCTTCCTCTTTGGACTATCCAGTCTTTAGGTGTTTATAGACTATTTGTTTTTCCTGTTACATTCCAGCTTGGCTTTCCCCTTGATATTTATATACCCACTACCTCTTCTCGTTTCCCCCGCTCCCATTTTTTTCCCCTTTCTCCCCCCCGCCCGCTCCCCTATTAATTTTAGTTCTGGACATCCAACACTCTGGTCATCTGAAGAAGTGGGCTCTGCCCAGAAAAGCTCACGATACCATCCTATATGTTTTGTTAGTCTTTAAAGTACTACCAGACTATTTGTTGTTTTTTAAGTTGATTCAGAATAGTTGGGACTGCTTGGTAAACTAGCGCAAGCCAACAATACGTCCTTTACTATGGCTAAACGTACACATCTAGGAACAAAAAGCGGCCATACTTATCGGATAGTGACTCTACCCGGGGAAGCAGTGACTGTGAAAAAGATTGGGGGCAGGGTGCCTAGTGGATAATCACTAAACATAACCTCCCAGTTTGATGCTGTGTCCTGAGATGCATTGACAGGGAATCATTAGGAGCAGAGAGGTGATTGTATTGTACCACTGCTGCTGGAATCTTGCGCTCAGTTTTATCGCCCACATGTCAAGGAGGACGTTGATACATTGGAGAGGGCTCAAAGAAGAGCTGCGAGGATGATGAAAGGATTAGAAGACGTGTGTTTATAACGTTGATACATTGGAGAGGGCTCAAAGAAGAGCCGCGAGGTTGATGAAAGTATTAGAAGACGTGTGTTTATAGCAATAGTTTGAGCTCCTTGAGTCTATTTAACTTAACAAAGAAGGTTAACGGGTCACTCGATAACAGTCTAAACATTTATATGGGAAACAAACATTTAATAATGTACTCTTTGATTGAGCAGTGGAAGGTATACGAGATCCAATGGCTGGAAGTCAATGCTACACAAATAGAGACCGGAAATAAAGCATGAATTTTAACAGTGAGGGTAATTAACCTTGGGAGCAACCTTCAAGGGGTACGGTGGATTCTCCAACACTGTCAATTTTTAAACTCAAGACTGGATGTTCTTCTACAAGATCTGCTGTAGGGACATTTCTGGGGAAGTTCTTTGACTTACACTATGCAGAAGGTCTGACTGGCTGATCTTGATGGTCCCTTATGGCCTTGGAATCAATGACTGAATTTATGATGAATTTAGAGTGGGACTAATCACATATTTAACTTACAAACTGCCAAGGTCAATGCAGTTTAAACCCAGTGATGTAGATGTTATGTTCTTACACAGAGGCGCTTATCCTAATGACTCAGATTCTACAGGGGCATTAAGGCACTCCCATGTTAAAAAAATACAGCTGCGTTTCTACTATAAACTTTGATTTGCTCCCAAGCTCCACCTAGCACCAACAAAGCTTCAAGCATGGGTAGATTAGGTCCAAGGCGGAGACTGTTTAGTTTGTTTTGGGTATAAGTGAAGTGGACAATGTTTTTTTCTGAAGGACACCCTAAAACTAAACAAAAGGTGTTCCCTGTGGGGAAAATCAAATAACTCCAATTATGTCTAAGGGGGACTGTGAAGAAATCAAAACTCTCTAAAAGAAAACTGCTGAAAGGGTTAAGTTTTCCAGACCTCTCTCCCTGTATCAGAGTGAAATCAAATTAACTCTAATCAAAGACCCTTACAAATGCCTCTCTCAAATTCATGGATACTCCTAGTCTGTCACAAATTATCATGTATACTCTTATCTTTGTCACAGTTTGCCTTGTAAGACCACTCACTCCACATTCTCATGTGCCTTTGTTTTGTAAAACTTACTTCTAGCACTCCTGGGGTGAACAGAAGTCTCAGAGTACTTCTGCTGAGACTTTGATATGTTAAAGAAAAACAATCCACAACTGAACTGTCTAAGCATTCTGTATAAAGGATCCAAAAACCTGTAACTCAGGGCTGACTGCGATGGCTCTGCTGTCAGCCTGCATGCATGCATCATAAAGTTTTCCTTTCTAGATTTCTCTCCTGCCTCACTGATTTGACCTCCGGCCTCGGACCCTTCTGGGGGCTCTGTACCCCAGGGGAACGAGATTTCCCCCACATCCCCAGCATGCAAAACGTCTACTTAATAGCTCCATTTTATGTCAAAGAAATGGAAGGGACCAAAGATATAAGAAAGCTGGGGAGACCTGCTGGTAAGAGATGGACTGTCTGGGGGCGGGATTCTGGAAGCTGCCAGCCACCGTACGTGGGTATGGTTCCTGTGCTGGGCATGGGAGGCCCACCCCTCCTCTTTTGCCCTCCCTCCCACACAGAAGCAGAAACCACTACCACCCCAATGGCCCCCAGCCTCAGTGCTGGATGGCCAGCATGATGAGGCCCAAGGCCTGGTGAGCCTGAACCAGCACCCACAGCCACTGGGTGGTGTGGCCCCAACGCCCCAGCCCTAGGGATCCAGCAGATGGGCAGCCAAGTCCCCACTGCTCTGGGGATCCAGTGGCCAGGCAGCATGGTCCCTGCCACCCCCATCAACCTGGGGATTCAGTGACTGGGAAGCACAGTGGCTGCACTCCCAGCTCCTCCGACCCCCTGCCCTGTGCTCCATCCCACACCCCAATCCCCTGCCCGGACTCCTGCACTCCTCCACATCCCTACCCCCTGCCTTGAGTCCCCACACTTCCCAGCCCCCTGCCCGGAGCCCCACCACCACCACTCCATTCCACACTTTCATTTCTTACAGGTACTGTTGTATCACAACCCTCACCCCACCCAAATTACTGCCCTGAGCCCCCCCAAAGGGGAGGGTTGCAATATGACAAACTCTGTAAGAAATTTAAGTTACTTTCACCCCCAGAAAGGACAGACATAAAACATATTTTACTGGACTTTTCTAGCTGAGATCATGGATCTCAGAGGACAGGGCGTGAACATGACAGCTGTTGCTAAGACATCAGATTCCACATTTCCACTGCACCAGTAGTAACACAGAAATGACCATTACCAATAGCTGTTCC